TCTTACCTGTTGTAAAGATTAGGTTTATAATGTGCATTAGAGGCTTTATTATGTATCGGTGACCATTTTTGAGATGTAATTCCGTCAATCCCAGGAGCACTGTTATTTTTTAACTAATGTATATGTTCTAATTCATTTTTATTGACAGGATTTAATGCCATTGAGTTGATTAGAGGTGGATATCTTATTAGGAAGTCATCTACAGAATTGATTTTAGTGGCCATATCTATACCAATTTTTGAAAAATAGTTATTGCAGTAATTGGCCATTTCTTTGTCATTTGTAAATTGTTTATTATTGTTTAGAATATTAAAATCATTGTTTGTTTTAGGGGCGCCCATTAATTACGTGAGGTGTTCAAGGGGGGAGGGGATCAAGCTAAATCTTTCCAAATCTCACTTGGGGGAGAGGGGGGTCTTTGTAAATCTGACGTATTTTTTTTTCTAGTAGAAAACGGTGTAAAATTGCGTGAAAATTAAATTAAAGTAAAGAATGTTTTTAGAAATTTTTAGTCTTAAATAAAAGTAATAAAACATATTGTGTTTGTTTTTTTAATAATCCAATGCATTTACACCCAAAACACAAATTTTGAAAAATCTCACGTGAGATTAGGGGAGGGGGGAGGGAGTTGAGGAAAATCTTACGAAATCTCACCAGGGGGGGAAAGGGGGTCAAAAAATCCTCAAAAATACCTCACGTAATTAATGGACGCCCCCTTATTTTTTCGGTGTTCATTTGAAGCTTCTATTATTCTGAATATTTTTTGAATATCATTCTTACTATTTTGAATTTGAATTGTATAATAATCATTTTTAGCTTTATTTATTATTTTATTTAGTTGGTTACGTTATATCCTGTATTCTCTTAGAAGATTGTTGTTTTTGGTTTTTAATATTTGCTTTTTCATTTTATTCCTATGTTTAATAGACATGATGATGCCTTGACTTATCCATGGTTTTATTTTTTTATAAGTATTATGCCTATTAGTTATATTACATTGTTCTTTTAGGGAATAAATTATTTCAATAAATTTCTGGTAGGCCAAAATTGGATTGCTAAGAGAAATGACGTTGCCCCAGTTTACATTTTCTAATAATTTTGTAAATCTATCTATATTGGTGTATTGTGTTGTATGTTGGTTTAATGTATTATGTATGGGTTGAGTTTCTTTCGTTTGTTGTAATATTTAAAAAAATTGGAAAATGATCAGTTAGATCAGTGTCAATTACCAACGATTTAAATGAGAAATTTTTATTTGATTTATTATTTTTTATAAAAATATTATCAATACATGATTTCATTTCTACAGTAACCCTGGTGTATGAATTAATATATGATACAAATCCCAAGGAAGATAACATTGCCAAATATCTATTTGTTATTTAGTTTGAGGGATCAAGGATATTAATATTAATGTCACCAATAAATATATCCATTCCTAGCCTTCTTGGTATATTATTTAAGAAATTTTTAAAATCTGATATGGATGGAGTTTTATAACAAGGCATTACTGTATAGGGCAAACCATTATGACTAAATGTTATTGAGCTTATCGTTACATTTGATAGAGGCAACTTTGTATGATCTATTTCAAACTGAATGTTGTTTTTAATATAACTACCATCACATTGATTATTCACACTTATTAAATATATTGATAAAACCAGGTATAATTAAATTATCAAGTTCAATAACATTATGTGTTTCTCCTAATATTATTTATTATATCAAAGTCCTGTAACCTACCGCACCCAGGTACCTTAATAATTTATTAATTCCATCTATTAAATACAATATTACATTTTTTTAAATTCAAAATGCTTCATTTAACGAAAAATCTCCCAGATAATTAAATCTTATTTACGACACCTAATAAATAATAGCTATAACCACGTCCGTAATATATCCACGTGTCTCTGAGAACCAGCCCAAAGAAAACACCATAAAGCGTATTTCTGTTTACGAAGTAATTATCATTAAAATACTTAACTAGCTTATTTTTCTAGTTTCGATGTTAAGACCGATATCCACAATATTTCGATACACAAAGCTTTCAAGGCAAGTAATAAATAAGCCACCCCCTGCACCCACCGTATTTCTATGAGAAATAAAGACATAGACACGTCACAAAGCCATTAAAACTTTTATTATAAAAAGCCAGACAAAAATGAGCTGATTCATTCATTTTTAATTATTTGAAGTGCATGCATTTATTTGATATGTGCAAGCATTCATTTATTATTTGTATCCAGTTATATTTCAAGTTCAGTAATCAGTACCTTTCCTATAACGCTCTTCCTAAACGACGTCTATCCTGCAATACCTCCTATCCCCGAAGGTGTCAACGTCTCGACGCCCAACGTCCTGCCGTCCTACTCCCTACGTCTCGAACGCTGTCACATTCCTCACCATATAAGTATTTCCTACCGTACACTCATTTCGACGCTCAACGTCCCTAAATATTTCCTTCATATCACGTCCCGCACCACCTACATAATTCTACCGTATGTCTGTCCCAATACAATACCATATTAAATACCTTCCTTTCCACCACGACGCTAGGCGTCTCGACGATGGACGCCTCGACGCCCAACCCTGCGACGTACCTACATCGACGCCGTCACAACGATAGATAAAATTAGTACATAATCTAATGTCTGTATTTGCAGTGCTGAGTCAAAAGATTTATGTACCTTTCTTTGAGGTATCACCCGGGTTTCGTTTAAGGGCGGGCTTGACATTTGCTGTAAAATATTATCAATAAACCACATGGCCTTCATCAGGTCATACACCCCAAAAGACACTTAGGATAACATCTGTTTTGGATGGGTGAAATTTTGAGTATTTTAATAGAAATTATAAAAATCAATATTAAGAAATATACGGGGTTGTATTAAGTTATTCCAATAGAAATGATAATAATCAATATTAAAACATATACAGGGTTATATTAAGTCTTTCAATAGAAATTATAAAAATAAATATTTTGGAAATATACAGGGTTGTGCTATCTTGGATAAATTGTACAAACCAAGATGGTAAAATCTAATAGTAAGTTAACCAACTGGCGAATAAGCTATTCGTTAGCTTAAGGGGGGACACCTATACGCTAAGCAACCCGTTCTACAAGGTTTGAAACAAAGTAAATGTGAAATCAACATAGTAAGGTAATCAACTGGCGAATTGGCGCTGTTTGTTACTTCCGTTGGTCATCACCTCTATACTCATCGTAATATTTACCTAAGAGGGTGCAACCTGTGTATATATCTAGAATAGAATCAAATCAACATCAACTCAATAGTTAACCAACTGGCGAATTGGCGCTGTTCGTTAACTTCATTGGTCATCAACCTAAATAAAAATATAAACATAAACACAGTAGTTAATCAACTGGCGAATTGACGCTGTTCGTTAACTCCGTTGGTCATCAACCTAAATAAAATATATATTGATAGCAAATGAATATGGTCTGCGTTTGAACGGGACTCAAGTGAGATCTCAGTAAATAGTAACAATTGTAATATACTTTGCTAAGTATTGCATCACATTTAAAGTATGAAAAATAAATAGAGTTTAAATATGAATTTGTATGTTTATTTATCAATTTGCACCAAACTTTGCATCAAATCCTGGTTTACCTTAATTAACATTATCACAACGTGGGTACATAAAATATCAATTAATTAACTAGGCGATCATTTCTACTACTAGAGGAAAAAGGCCAAATACAGTAAGTAAAGAATTTAAAGTGTAAAGTAAAACTTGTGAGGTAACTTAATAACATTTCAAAGAGAGTAAAGTAAAATACAAGAACAAATCACAAAGAAAAGGGGGCCTGGGGGTGGCCGTCACAGTCCTTTAAACCAAACGTTTCTAAAAAATTTAAAAAGTTGCCAAAAAATTTTTTTATACTTCTAATATTCAAATCCAAAATTTTTATTAAGGTTGTTAAATGATTATTGCAACTGATAATATTTAAAAAATTGCCTAAGTTATAACAAGAATTTTTATTTAATTCAATCTCATTTTCTTCATTTTCAATCTCATTAAAAATATTTAGTTCTGCTATAACCATAAAAGAGAGAAAGATTATTTAAATTGTGGTAAATTAGTAAAAACTATTATAATGTTGAGATTAAATTAAAACAAAAAAGAAAGCAAAGATGTGAAATTAATTTTCACAATAGGTTGTTTTATTTTTAAGAACCTGTTTGAAATATTTCAGAGTATTACACTCTGAATCAGTGGCGTAGTGATCAGTTGGATAGTTGGATTTAAAATTAATATTTGAATTCTTACAATTACAAACTTTAGTTTTAGGACAGTTTTCTCTTATATGTTCTTCAGCACAAAGAGAACAGATAATTTTTTTGTACCATTTTGTTTATTATGGTAATATCCTTAACACTGATAGCATCTTGGTATGTCAAGGTCCTCATACACTGTGTATCTTTCCCAAACAATATTAACTTTACCTTTTTGCATTATTTGGTTAAAAACTTTTGGACTACATTCACAAATAATATATAATAGCTATTCCTCAGAATATTTTTTTAGATATTCATTGTGTATGGCCCATGACGTTAATGAACTACTAAATGTTCGTATACCGATGGTCCAGAGCGTGTAGTTGGCATTAAAGCTTGGGCAGTGAAAGCGTTAAATATTATTTTAAGTTTTAATTAGTTTTTTTTTTTCTCGAAACAAACATTTATGCGCGTATCGAGTATATTTTATTTGCAGCAATTTGATTTGATCTAATACTTTGTAATTATCTTTGTGAATTAAAAAAAAAATATTATTCATTTTCATGCTGCTAAATTTGCTATCAAATTAAGTTTCAAATGAAATCACATTATTTCTATTTCTATTTAAAAACACAATGTATATTAAAAACTAGTCAGGAATGAGTTGTCAACAAATGTATCGAAAATTCATCAAATTCCTTTTCGCCAGACTGCTTGGTCCTTTAAAAAGGAAAAATTATTCCATTAAAGTACCTTTTAGTAGCCTTGTCAGGCTGGAATCTCTATAAGGCACAAACCCATGTTGGGTTTTCTCATCTCCTAGAAAACTAATAACATTACCCAATGCCAATAAACCTTTATTTATTGTAACTCCTTCTTTGAAGGTGGTGCCTGTTGCCAATGTTTTTTTCGGTCTCTCACTCCCAGCAAGATCAACAAGGTTTAGAGTTGCTTGCTTGTTGTTCAGGCTAAAAAAGGTATTTTTTTACAATATTGAAAAGTAACGAAAATCTAATTTATAGATCAAAATCATATTATAGAAAGAAGGTAGGATATTGAGCAGATTTGGCCCTGTTATTTGACAGTTCAATTAGTCACTTTGTTAAAAAATTAGTTTTCACATTAATAGATATAGATTATATAACACTTACCAATCTTCTTTGTGATTCATAGATATATTCACACTAAAAATTGCATGGCTTCGGGAACTTTGGGCGTTCATTGCCGTTGCACTGGTGGCCCGGCCAGCAGTACCTCTTTCCAAGGCCTTGAAAACTTCAGAGGCCGTAGTTACTTCGATTTCCGTTAAATTAGGAATATGAATGCCTAAAATAACCAAGTTATTTTAATTTAATTTAGGACGAAAGTGTGCATTTTTTTGGGACAAAAGTGGGCAAATTTATCCAAAAAGGTATTCTTTTACAAGAATGATAATTGGAAATGAAAATAAAAATATATTTATTGAAATAGGTAACCCTAATATACAAACATTTTTTTTTGTTACAAAACAACAACTCAAATTCAAAATACAAAAATCAGAAAAAAAAATTATAATTTATGACTGAACAAAACAGAAAAACAAAGTCCAAAATATAAAAAAATATATATATATAAAAGTTCCAAATACAAAAGTCTACAATTCAAAATATACATATTAATACAATCAAATAAAAATGTTTAAAAGAGATTTGCACATTTAATCTACTTTACACTAATTTCATCAATCATGAACATGTTTTATCATTTTCTTTTTAAAAACTGTTACTGACGAACTAGCTTTAATACCAAACAGCAATTTATTGTAATGGTCAAAGCATTTAAAAAATAAGGAATTCATTGATGTTCGTTTATTTGTTCTAACTATGTGCAAGTTACTGTTATTTCTAGTAGAGTAGTTATGAATATGATTGTTAAAATTAATATATTCTCGAAAATAAAGAGGGGCCAATCCATTAAATATTTTATATACAAACACAATAGTCAAATAATATGATCTCTGATAAACCGAAATCCATTGCAATTGATCTATGCATGGTAGATTTTGCAGTTTTTGTAACTGTGTCGTTTGGTTTAAGTTGAAAAATAATCAAAATGTGGTCGAATAATTGAGCGATAAACAGTAATTTTAGTTTCAGCTGATAGGTTTTTTGATATTCTTGCAAAGAAGTAGTTTCTTCGATATATTTATATTTTTTAAAATATAATTAAAATGTTCACTAAACAATAAAAAATTATCAAGTTGAAAGCCAAGGTACTTAGTAGATGTTTATTTATTTATTTAATTACGGGAAAACCCTATTTTACAATAAAAAATATATGTTATATGCACAAATACAAAATAACAACATCAAAAATTGTATCATGTAAAACATTTGATTAAAACATATGATTAAAATATATGATTAAAACATATGATTAAAACATATGATTAAAACATATGATTAAAACATTTGATTAACAAGGCAGGCAATAACAGTACTTTCAAGTGTCATTAAGAAAGTGGTTAGCAATACTTCTTTTAAATTAAGGATATGACAAACCAACAAAATCCAAGTCTATTTCTATACTGTTAGCACTCCTAACCAATCGTGTTGATGGGGCTATAAAAGCCGTAATTTTGTCTACGGTGTCTAATAAAAAAAGTTTCAATAGCTCTGGTTGCACTATTAATTTTAAGACCAATTTTTAATAAAATATCAGGAGAATATATTGACCCAGACAAAAGTTTGAATAGGAAGCATAGATCTAATTGAGTTCTCCGGTTCTGCAAAGTTGTGATCTCTAATCTGGAACATAGGTTAGCATAATCCTAATGGTAATTATTTATACGCACTCCTAATTTATATGCCGAGCATCTCAGAAACTTATGTTGAACCGTTTCAAGTCTATTAATGTGAATGCAATAATAAGGGTTCCAGACAACAGCTGCATATTCCATATTAGAACGAACAAGAGTGCAGTAAATAATTTTAAAAGAATTTATTGAGAGACCATTAGAGATTCTTTGTATATAACGCAACAACTTTCTGGCTTTTAATGATATTATTGTAATGTGTTCTGAAAAAGTAAGTTTTTCATCAAACATTACGCCAAGGTCCTTTATTTGGGTCACCAATTCAAGATCTAATGAATTGATACAATAAGTATAGTCTATAATAGTATGGCACCTATTAAACTTAATATAAAAACATTTACTTAAATTCAAATTCATACAATTTACATTACACCACAATGCTAGGTTGTTAATATCAGTCTGTAAATCAAAACAATCAGATATACTTTCAACAATTTTTAAATCATCTGAAAATGTTACAATAACAGATATTATAGAATGATCACTAATTTGCGGAGTATGATGAACTGTAGTATTAACAAAATTATTATTAACTAATACATAATCTATCAAAGTTTTACTATTATTTGTAATTCGTGTAGGCTCAGTGATTAATTGGTCAATTCCATATTGTAAAAACATTGCTTTAATTTTATTACTATAAAACAGTCATTTTGTATAATCAAAGTTAAAATCGCCAATTAACAAATCGTTGACTATTAGCAAAAATAGAATCACATATATTTTCCAAACTGTCCAAAATTACAGCATCAGAACTTGATGGTGAGTGGTAGAGACAACCCAAAACCACTGATAATCACTAATATCAAGTTTTATTACTTTGCACCAATAATTTGGCTCAAGTACAAAGGTCTTAGCAACAGAAAATTTTAAATTATCCTTCACGTAAATTATGACCCCCCCCCCGTGTGCTTCGGTTTGATGAGTTACATCTGATCAGATTTTAATTTCAGATTCTTCCATTTCCTTGGTAATTCTTGCTTCACTTATAAAAATTATCTTAGGGCAGTAATAACTTATTTGAATTTCATCGATTTTAAGTAAACTTTGGGCATTTAAGTAGAGTATATGAAATAAAAGGGGGGTAATTTTAGATAGAAAGAAGTAATTTTGGACAAAAACGGGGATAATTTTGGACAAATAAAGGTAATTTTGGACGATAAAATTAGAGAGGAGATAACATTCGATCAGAGGAGCAATATAAAAACAAATTCTTACCTTTAGTTGGATCTTCGCGAATATCTAATACGCACTGGTCCCGTGGTTTTTGACTGAGAAGATCATATAAAACCTCTTGATACAATTCCATAAACGATACTTTTATTACAAAATCATATGAAAAGTTATCTTTTACAAAAGTAAATATATCATTTACTGCTCTTGGTATTACACCCATGTCGCCTTGTCCGGAATAATTTGTACCCATCGTATGGGTTTTTCCAGACCCAGTTTGCCCATACGCCAAAATTGTTACATTGTAACCCTGAAAGTAAAGCATAAGTTGTCCATGTAGCTCTTGAGGAATCTTGATAATATAAACGGTATTGACCAATAGAATAAATATTAAATCTAATAAGATATATAATTTAAAAATAGTATTTTAAATGAGACACCCTATTTTTATTTTGGATTCTGATAGAATATGAAATTTTAAGGGGCACTTTGTATAGTTAAGTGTACAGCTAAAAATAGTAATTTATAAAAATAAATTATTAAAAAAATAACCATTGCAAGTATTAAAATAATATTTATTGATATTTAAGCAATTTTATTCAAGGTTTATATTTATTGAATTATCCTGTAAAACAATATTAAAAAAAAAAAATTACATACTTTATACAAATTTTCAATTAAATGTTTCACACATTTATTGTACACATCATTTTCTATGGAAGTATTTGGAAAAACGTAGTCAAATGTATATGGTGTGTCTTTCTCCAAATATTTCACCAAAAGTTGGTCGTTTTGAGTAATAACCTCTATAATCTCTTTAGACCCTTTCGATAATTCATTTATTAGAAGAGGCCTCACTCTAACTGCTACTCGAATAGATGTATTGTCAGACATTATAATAATACCTAAAAAAAATATCAAATATATATAAAAGGTGTCATATTAAGAATGAAACATGGAACATTATTTACGAAATAAATTGTGCTAAAGATGAAAATTCAAAAAATAATTTTTTATTCTCAGTATAATCTAAATTCGGCAAACCTTTGTGGTGTCATAAGATACAACTATCATCAAAAAGCAGTTAAATAAACGTTGCCAGTGGCGTACGGTATGGGTAAGTAATACCTTTACCCCTTCTAAATTTTAAGTCACTGGCCAAAAACTTATTTTAAATTTGTTGATGTTTTTTAAATAAATCATGCACTAGTAGTATGTAAACCACCGGTCCTGAATAAGATTTTTAAATCGAAAATTTTGTACAGAATTCTAGAATTTTAAAAAATTAAAAAAATTGAATTAAAAATTTTTAAAAAAATCATTGAATTAAAGAAATAAAAATATATAAAAAAATTGAGTTAATTAAATAAATTGTATACATAAATAAAAGATGAATTAAATTATATTAACAAACTATAAAAAATTTACTCTCAAACAATACAAAAAATTGCTGAGAGTTATCGAAAAGAATACCAACTCGATTTGGTGAAATATAGTACATTGAAGAAAGAACAGTTGTACAATTTAATAAAAGAAAAAGTAAATTTGTATCACGAGAATATACCAATACCAAAAAATTACATCACCACAACAGAGTTGACAATACCAAATTACAACTCAATTACCGTAAAAAGGTTACAACAAATAGCCAAAAACTATAGACAAACACCACTTACCATTAACTAAATTTTATAGGTTAGGAAAAGAATGGTTGCACAATTTATTAAAGAAAAACATCAATACAGAAAAAGGGAACGATAGTTATTAAAAGTACAGGTAGGTTTATTGATTATACAATAATTAATAATAATCTAAAAGATATTACATGGAATTATTGGTTATAGGATATTAATGAAAAATACAGAGAATTTTTAAATAAAATTTTGAAAGTTGTCAATGAAGTGGCACCAAAGAAAACAAGTTAAAATTTTACCATATTATCAGAACTGGTGGAACGATCAGGTTAGAGTTGCTACTATAATGTGTAAAGACCGGACAATTTAATTTATTCTTATCAGCGAAGTAACGGTAAGAGCGGACCTTCGATTTGAATAATACATTCTGAATAAAACAAGTTATTTACTGAACTGGTCGACACAGTAGATAAGATATTGGATTTTTATCGCCCGGGCGTAACATTTGGGGCGGGCTTATTATTACATTTACATTGCAATAATTATTTTATTAAATTTTAGTTCAAATTTGGTTGGATATTATTATATAATTACAAATGATATTATAATTTATTTTTTTATTGTGTTGTGGGATAATGTTGTTGGCTTTTTCTGTTAATATATTATTGACTAATAAATATATCAACGAGGATACACCATCATTAGTTTTATGTTTAGAGTGTTCCAATATACACTCTTTATCCTAAAGTAGCAAATATACAATTATATACAATATATACAATACAAATTAATATCAATCTTCTTCATTTGAAAAATATGTTTGTATGACTGCATATTTTTCTAAATTGTCTTCAGTGAAATTACTTCTTTTAGAAGTCAATAAATCTTTAAACCTAGAAAACGATCGTTCTACGTCACAACTCGTTACAGGAGCAAATGAAAAATGTGGAACAAAATCACAATATTTTAAAGCAGTTTCATAATCGTTAAAATTGTTCAGGGAGATTTGTTTCAGAGTCTGTAAATTTGGATTTCTTTTAATAACACAATCTATTTTATGGTTAAATTTATCTTGTAAGGGCCACTTTACGTTTTTTAAGTGTAACAATGTCGATTCAAATTTTTCCATAGCAACCGATAATTGTAAGTTACGGGTTTCAAGGAATTTTATAGTTTCTGGGAGACACGAAAAATAAGTCGCAAGAAAATTTAACTCCGACTGCAAAGTTGTTTTTGTTATTAAACCTTTACACTGAGTGATAGAGAGAGCGTCCTCTGATAAGTTGGAAATAAATACTTTTAGTCTGTCGAAATGCTCCGAAAAAAAGAACACAGCCTGTAACCAAGTTCCCCATCGTGTAATAACTGGTTGTGGAGGTAGGGGGATATTCGGACATATTTCTTTATATAAAGAAACTCGGGACGGTGCTTTTAACAAATTTTTTTTAAAACAGCTAATCAACGAATTAATGTCTGGAAAGCTGTCACGGATAAACTCACAAACTCGGTGTAACGCGTGAGCAAGGCAAGTTACATGCAGCATGTTTGGAAAATGTTCTTGTAATAGTTTCCCTGTTTTCAACATTACACTTGCCGCGTCTGAAATAAACAATAAAACTTTTGAAACGTCATTATCAATTACATTGTTCAATCCACGTTTCACTATTTCATAAATCATTTCAGCGTTCACAGTTTCACGAAACACACTAGAAACTAAATACTGTTGTGAAGTATTTTCAGCACTTAATAATCCTACAACAACATTAACAACACATCTACCCTTTATGTCAGTCGTTTCATCTGCACTAACCCAAATATATTTGCTGGAAATTTTCGTTTTTATTGCCGTCATTGCTTTATCGTACTGATTTTGAATATAATGTTTTCTAATTGTGGATTCATCCGGTATTTTACGTTTAGTATATTTACAAAGAAAATTTTTGAAAATTGTATTATTTAATTTTGTTAATGGAATATTTGCAGAAACAAATGCGTTGCATAAATCTTCATAAAAGATTTTGTCTGGACATCCCTCTAAAGATTGCATGTGTTTTTGTGTTTTCACATGTTGTGTCATACTTGACTTTCCATTAAAAACTAACACCTGATCACAATTGCGGCAGTATAATTTGTTGTCATTAAAACGACGAAAACAATCAAAGTCCGATAATAAATTTTCCATATTTACGTTTCCAGTTTCTATCACTTTTCCCTTTGAACTAAACAAATATACTCATTGGAAAAATCTAGTGATATTTTTACAAGACACTTTCTTCTCAAATCTCCTGTTTATCGACTCTTTGTTATCTTTTTACATTTTTTCAACCAACAGATACCTATATAGAGTGAGCAATTGAATTAATACATACATTACAGAAATTTAACAGACATTTATTTTATTGTCTCATCGTGTATAAGTACCATAATATCCACAGGAAATAAAAACATAAATGTTTTGTTACAAAAAATCGGTATGTACGGTATCGATAAAAGCCAAAATATTCATAAATATAATATAAGGATTGACTTTATTTGAATAAAAATATCACCGGCAACTCACCGACAATGGATCGAGAAAGTATAAGACAACATATGATGGGCCTATTTGACATTCATTTTAGGCCCTCTCTACAGCGTCTTAGTCCAAACGCTCGTAGAGTCCTAATATTTGGCCCCGATGCAATTTCTCCAACAATGAATCGGGACCAGCTAAGGCTAGAAATTTCCAATTTTCTGGAGGAAATAACAAATTCGGGGGAGGCAGCTGGGGTCCTCGATCCTCATTTTAGGCAGGAGAGTAGTGTACCACGCCAAAATATTGAGGAATAGATATTTTGTAATTATATAAGAGATAATAATAAAAAAAATATCATACAGAATATCGTTTACATTACTACACCTTAAACTCGCTTATGAAAAGTTTAACATCTTCATCAAAAAAGTTATTTTTTTTTAAGGAAAATTTCTCAGGCCACAAATTAAAGGATCTGAGGTTACTAAAAACTTTTGTAAAATATCCTACATATCCTCGGCGTTGGTGAGAAGAAAACATTAAATTTGTTTAATGAAAATGATTCAAAAGACAAAGAATATAGGTACACGATAAAAAAAAATCTCACTTTTTTGTATTAGTTTTAATGTCTATGTATATATCAGTACACTTTTTTTATCTTGTTTTAATAAAAAAAAGAGGTTTGTCCTGATAGTATTAGAATCTGCCGCACTGTCTGCCGTCTTAAATAGCGAACCCAGAATGAGACGCCTATGTGATTAAAACCAATTATTTGAACGCGATTAAAATGTCCGGTCTTTAATAATGTGAGAGATAAAAGTTATAAAACATTCATTATTAAGAAATCAGAGGAAAACTGGCAAATATATAAACGTAATAGGAATAAAGCAGTGAATGTAATTAAACATGAAAAAAGCAAATACTTGGAAACTAAAATAGATTTAAACAAGGGTAACCCTACTGAGATGTGGAAAACTTTGAAATCTTTCATTCCAACAGCTAATATCGCAAGCAGTTTTACTAATACTAATATTGAATTCGACAATATTTGTGACAATTAAAAGAAACATTATTTTCAGGGTCAAATAAAAATAGTCCAGATGAAATAACCACAATTTTATTAAAAGAATGTTTTGAGAGTTTATCGCAACGTCTATTACATTATAAATTTTTTTATTAAAACAAGTTTAGTCCCGGACGATATTAAGATTGTTACAATAATTCTGATACCAAAAATTTTGAATCCAAGTAAGGAAAACTAATAGAAAAAGTAATATATTTTCAAATTATTGATTATTTAGAGGGGAACAGTTTGATAAGTAATGTGCAATCAGGATTCTGTAGTAAACACAACTGTGAAACTGCTTTACAGTTGGTGTTGCATGACTGGAAGTTATCAATTGAAAATAATTTGGCTACACTCGCGGTATATTAGAATTTACAGAGGGCATTTGAGACTATTAATAGGGGTAGATTATTAATGAAAGTAAGAGCTATTGGTTTGGGGGTTGTGCACTGGACTGGTTGGGTCATTATATGGAAAATAGGAAACAGAAGGTTAAGGTAAGTAATTCTGATTCAGATACTATATAGAATAATAAGGGGGTGCCACAGGGTAGTGTTCTAGGTCCGCTACTGTTTTCAATTTATATTAATGACATTGGTAGTCGAAAGATGCTCAATACACTTATTTGCAGAGATACACTGATATATTTTTCCCGTGAAAACACTGAAACTCGTTTTAAAGA